TCTCACACACACACATCCCCCCTCCCCACTCAGTTCTGTCTATTCAGATGCAAAGGATTATCACAGTGCAGGGTTATGGACCTGCAGACATAGAAGGGGCTTTAAAGAACTGTTTCAAAGTGGTCCTCAGACCAGCAGCAGCCACAGCGTCTGGGAGTGGGTGACGCATCATCTGGTTTGCCTGGGGTGACCCAGGTTTTAGCACTGAAAGTCCAATATTCTGGGAAACCCCTCAGTAGGTGCTGGGCAAATTAGGTCATTAGCCACCCCAGATAACTCTGACCCTTCTCAGGAAGGCCACTGTCCTGCCCTCTAGATGGGAAAATAGATTCCCAGAGAAGAGAAGTAAGGTGCCTACATGCAGGCAGCAAGAAAGGGCCCAAGCCCAAGCATCCCACCTCCGTGTGTAGCTCAGCCACCCCGTCTTAGGCCGCACAATGCAGCAGACGCAACAAAGTCGAAATCGGGCAGCTTGTTAGATTTTAAAAACACTGAAAAGGACCCAGACCAGTTGCTGTTGCAGGTGGGCACCGCAGTCAGGTGGGGAAGGTGAGGAGGGACCCCACTGACCCTGGGGCATGTGGCTGGCAGCACTTGCAGAGCTGGGACTCCAAATGTGGGCCACCTGGGAGCCAAGGCCCAGAGGGAGGAGCAGCAGGTCTCCTAAGAGGCCAGAGAAGACATCAGCCTGCCTGAAGCGAGGCCCTAGGAGGCACCGCCACCTCTTCTATGTTCTCAGACTAGTGCAGGACTCCACGGCAGATGCTGAGCACCACCTCCGGGGGTGGTGGGAGTTGAGGGGAGCAGGTGTCTCTGCCTTGCCTGCCCCGACTGTCTGCCTCTTGCCTCTTAAGGACACTGCCTCTCATTGGTTCAGGAAGTGCAACTCCCCTGGACAGAAGTAAAACCCACTTAGAAAGTCTGCTCCCTGCAAATCCTCAGACACTCCTCAGAACTCTCAGAGGCTCAGAAGCCCTGGTCCCTCCATACCTGTTGGGTCAGGGAGCATATGTTTCCTTTTCTCCTCTCCAGGGGCCACTGTGGCCATTCTCACCCCCAGAACACCCGCCCCCACCCCCACCCCTACCCCTCTTCCCATGTATTAACTCTCTAACCACACCGGAGGCCAAGGAAAACAAGGTCCTGTAGAGGGTGTACTCAGGACAGCTATCGGCCTGCCTGGGGTCCCATCTGGTAAGTGGGCTAGGCATGCCCCTCTCCTAAGATGGTGGTTGCTTTCCCTTCCCTGTCCACCTGTCCCGGCTCACTAAGCAGTCAAGTTAAGGGCATGTGGTGTCCTGAAGGTGATGTCGACTGGCAGGAAGGGGTTCAGTGAAGTCATCTTTGATGGGACTTGCATTTCAGAGAGTCCCCTGGCAGGCGTGGACGGGCTGTGGCTGCTGGGTGCCCAGAGACCAGGTAAGAAGTTAGCATTGCAGTCCAAGAACGAGATGGCAAGGTCTGAACCAGACCCGTGGCAGCAGAGATGGTGAGCAGGAGACAGACACCCACAGGCAGGCAGTGAGTACCATTAAGAGACAGTGGGGGAATGACCCCAGGGAGGGGGAAGAAGGAGCCACAGGGGAGGTTGACGTGCAAAGGAAAGACTAGGAGGACGGGGGAGTGCGGGTCCCAGAAGCCAGGGGGCAGGGGCTGGGCCACAGTGCCACATGCTGAGAGAGAGCCCAGTGATGTGAGGTGGTGAGGATTCAGCTGTGCCAGAGTGGCATCAGTGCAGGATGGCAGTGGGTTAGGGATTCGGGAGAGGGGACTCGGGCAGATATTTCCAAATGAAGCCTAGGGAAGCAGCCAGAAGAAGGTCTAAGGTAAAGGAGCATGTTTGCATTGAAAAAAAAGGGAAACTTGTGCATACTGATTTCCCTGAGAAAGATTGCCCAGCTCTCAAATCATCTGAGATTCAAGCTTTTTTTAAACTATGACTGCTCTTTTCAACTCGTAGCTCAAAGTGGCTGCTTGAGCTGCAGTCCTTTAATCAACCTTCCAGGCAGCAGGAAGAAGGAAAGGGTGAGGAGAGACATGCTCCCTCCTCAGTCTAAGGATATTTCTGATTATCAGATATAAAGAATAACATTTATTGATGACAAAAGGATCGATCTACCAGGATGATACCAAAACTCCAACTCTGTATAAATAATTGCAAAATGTCTCAAGTAAAAATGAACAGAACTGAAGGAGAGACAAATTCATGGTCACTGTGGGAGTCTTTCAACAGAGAGAGGGACAAGCAGATACAAAATCAGTAAGGAAATAGATGTGAAGAGTGCTGTTAACGAATTTGGCCTAACGAACACACAGAGTTCCGTACCCTACAACGGCAGTTTTCATGTCATTTATTCAAATGCACGTGAAACATACGCCCCCAAAATGAGAACTCTAAGAAACTGCGTACAGCACTTCTGCCTACATGCCAGGAGTTAACCCTGCTGCACCCCACAGGAAGGGGTGCCAGGCAGTGTCTGCTCCAGGTGGCCAGTACCCACTAACGCTGAGGGATTCGGGTCCTGAGGCCAACGGAGAGAACACGTATCAAGGAAACCAGCCATCTGTGTCCCTTCCTCAATGCCTCCCCCGGTAGCTCTGGTTCTGAGAGCCACGCCCAACTGGTAAGACCTTGGGCAGCTCAGACGCTCTGCACTCTCTCCTGCCTCTGCCTCTTACTTGCTATGTGACTCTGGACGGGTTATGTAACTAGCTAAGCCTCTGTTACCTGATTTTTCAAAATGGAAGTAACTTGTACTTCCTAGGTCTGTTGGGAACATGGGATAAGATAACGTGTATAAAGCACTTAATTCTGTTCCTGGCACATAATAAGTGGCCAATAAATGTGAGCTGCACAGACAGGTCAGGTAACTTACCCGAGGTCACACAGCCGAGAAATGACAAGGCTAGCTTGTAGATCCAAGCATCTGGCTCCAAGCTGGTACTGCCAACTTCTCCAGGGCCTCTGCCACCCCCAGAATGGGGCCCTACCTATAGCAGAGGTGCAGTGGGGGATAGGAAACTGCGACCAGCAATTAGTCATGTCATTTTAGAGAGTGTTAGTGGGGACATTCCGTCTCTGCAGAAGGTCGACTTAATGAACCCAAAATTTCCCATGACCCTGACATTCTGTGGTTCTGTCTCCACCACTAATGGGTGAAATTTTACCTTTAAAAATGTGTTTCTTTTTGTTAAATCCTGTCTTCTGCCTCAACTCCTTTTTCAGAAATACGATCTTCCTTTAGAGGGTCCTGACTCCTCCAGTTTACAGGTCTAGAAGAGTCTGTGGCATGGTTCTGTGGGCCCTGTTTGGGAGGAGAGCTACAGACAGGAGAGGCCAGGCCCCAAACAAACTGTCCAGTTCCTAATGGCCCACGCTGGTGCAGAGGAGCTCTTGTCAGGGCCACCTGTGGAATGACCGCATAATAGCTCCGGTTCCAGTCGCCCAGCTGACCCCATCTGTCACCATGTTTTGCACATTTTTTTATAGGCTTCCTTTTTTCTCCTTCTGTATTTTTTTTTCCACCACACTGCCTCTCAGACAAAATTGGAGAAAAATGGGTTTTGTCCTTTTTTAACCAGAAGACTAAAACTCTTATATTACCTTCTTCAAGTTCTGCAAATAGAAATCCCAAATAAGCCACCTTTTCCTTTCTCTCTTCCTCTCCCTGTCTTAGGAGCCCAGGAGCTTGAAATAAAAGGCAGAATGGTGGTTTAGGAGGAATGATCTGGGCTTGGCCCAGCACTGACCCAGGAAAAGGAGTGGGGTGGTGGCAAGGAGGGGTGGCTGGAGGGGGGCAGTGAGGGAGAAAGAGATGTAAGGGAGCAAAGCCAGTGCCCCATTGCTTATGTTTCTAGATTAAAAGAGGTTCCAAAAAAATTTAAAAAAAATAATAAAAGAGGTTCCCTCAAGACAGCCAGTTACTCAGGGAGCAGCCACTCTGAGTGTTAGAGCACAGGCAGGTGCCTAGGAGAAGAAGAAAGTACAAGGGTCGTTGTTCAGAGTCACTGAGAAGCACTTAGGACTACCAGGTGCAGTGAACCTCCTCTACCTGTGTCACCCCACCTGTGTCGCAGTTCCCAGGGACTCCATCAGTGGGCATCAGGACAAGGAGAGGGAGCATGTCTCCAGGGCAAACACTAGGAATTTTAGGGCTGGAGTCCTGGGTCCTAATCCCTGCTATGCATGCTAATAGTAATGGCTAACATTTATTGAGCACTTAACGTGTGCCAAGGATTATGCTAAGCACCTCACATAGATTTAATCTTCTAAACAAGCCTTCAATGTAGGCATCATTATCATCTCTGCTACAGATGATGACACTGAGGAACGGGAGGTTGCATGACTTGCCCAGAGTCTCGCGTATCTTGTGGCAGACCTGGGTTGAACCCAGGGAGTCAGACTGCAGAGCTCTTGTACTTCCTTCTGCCAAATGACTAGGTCTGCTGCTCTACTTCCTCGTTTGGAAAGTCGAGGTACAGGGGACCAGTGGGGTGGAGTGGGTGAGGTTGAGGTCCTTTCCAGTGTGGACTGTCTGATCTGGAGCTCATGCCTCACCTGGGCACACAGAGGTCCTGAGTGCCAGAGTCCAGGGCCAAGCAGGCATGCCAGGTGTGCATGAGGAGACGTGTGTGTGTGTGTGTGTGTGTGTGTGTGTGTGTGTGTGTGTAAGACAGGTACATCTGTGTCCTGTGACCCTGGTGACACAGCAGAGGGGAGTATGAATGCAACAAGACCAGTGCAAAGTCTGTAGGAAGACTTGTAGGTTAGAGTCATGGCAAAGGGGCAAAACCAAGATCCAGAGAGCCTAAAAATTCTGCCCAGTTCACGTCTGTTGTGCATCCGTCAGCCTTTACATTTCCCTGATCTTTGCTCCCAAGTTTCATACCCACAGCCTCCGACCCACCTAGCCAAAGAGGCTAGGAAGGGGCTCTGGCTCTGGGAAGGGCAAGGTGGTTCTCCGCAATGCCCCCTGCCAGCGCATGTGTCTTCTTTGCAGGCCCAGCAACCATGGCCCATTACAAGGTGGAGCAGGACGACTGGCTAATCGTCTACCTGAAGTATTTACTCTTCGTCTTTAACTTCTTCTTCTGGGTAAGTGAATTTGTGCACACACATCCCCTGGCCCAGCACGGAGTGAGTCAGATCACCTTTGCTTTTGTGAGTCACCACTCAGGTTGATTTCTTCCAAATCAAAGACCACCCATGGACAAATTCTGCCTACTTTAAAGCAAATATGTACATTTGCTACTGAGGGGGAAGAAAAGAATCTGGTCTGCAGGTTGGCGTAGAGTCCGGACCACATGGCATCTGAATAGAGGATGCATAAACATCACAATGAGCTTTGTGTTCAGCCTGCTGTACAACGGGTCCAGCTCTTTCTTCCCTGCTAACTTGTTGTACCAGTGCCTTGGGGGAAATGTGCCTGCCTGAAATAATTGCTCATTTTCCATGGAAGGCCATTTGCCTCTCATGGTTAACATTCTCCAAGCCCAGGGAAGAGAAACCAAAGTCCTGGGGCACAAGGCTGGGGCCATGGGAATGACCGCCATGGTGACTCCTCTCAGGAAGCTTATTCGCTGAGGTCTTCCAGGAGGAGTGGAGTCTGTCTACTTGAGGCAATTATCAGAGTAATTGAGAGCAGAATATCATCGGTTCCCCCAAAATAACCAGACCCTGGAATGCGTGTATGTATTTTGTTTTACAGTCTCCCTTAACTTGGAGAGGCAGAAGGGTCCTGGGAGAGCAGGCTTTGCTGTTTACTAATGGGATGACCTGGAGGCAAGCCGCTTAACATTGGTTGAGTCTTTCCCAGCTACAAAATGGGAATCATTTCTACCTGCTTGGGATTTATTAAAAATAAGACAACAGGCCCCAAACGGAGTCACTCATGCTAAGCTTAATGTCACCAAACCGATACTTACAGTCTTGGCTCTCCTAGAAATGACATCTTAAACCATCAATCAGGAATCGCCTGATGAGCACTAGTTAGGTAACCCACCTGATAGACCCTGCCTTCCCGTAAAGGGAAGTAACCTTGCAATAACCAACCTGCTTCTCTGTCAAATATAACAGCCTTATTCCCACACTCATCTGGCTATAAAAGTCTTTCATTTGGTACAAACTCATTGGAGCTCCTTTCTATCTGCTAGACTGACTGCTGCCCAATTGGAATCAATTTCTGCTCAAAGAAGCTCTTAAAATGTTTAATATACCTCAATTTATCTTTTAACAATTCGATTAGCAGGTGCCCTAGAATGGTACATGTTAAGTGCTTTGCTCGGTCTCTGCATGTAGAAGGCATTCCGTAAATGCAGCATTTCAGATATGTTAGCAATAGAAGGCCTGAAAAAAACACCAAATCAGCCTGCTGAGAGAGCAGATCTGAGGTTCCTGCTTCCCCAGGGAAGCAATGCCCTCCCTTGACAGAGTCTTAGAAACATCTCCGAGAAGCAAAGGCACAGATAGGTTATATCTGTGTGTTCCGGGCCTTTCGCTAAGACTAATGAAATTGCTTGAGATGGGGCAATGTGTTAAAACCCCAAAGGATCATGACATGGTAGTTAAGGATTGGTGGGCACAGCATGGCCAGAGTTTGGGAGAGCCTTGGAGAGTAGACGCTCATTTGATGCTATCTGTTAAAAAGTGGAATCATTTGATGCTTGTTTAAATGCCTTTTGCAAAGTCCCTAAAACAAACAATGAACTTATTTTATTTGCAACTTTTATCGTCTTGAGCAAGTGTTACCTGGAATAGTAAAGCTGGGTTGATGAAACCAGCGGACTAAACAAAGCCACGCTGATGCGATCAGTAAGCTGTGTGGGTGCAGGTAGTTTTGATTCTTAGAGATAAATCCAATAGAGTGCTTAGGATTCTCGCTGAGTGAGGATTTTTTTTTTTTTTTTAGGAATAAGTATGCTTTTCCGTATCATAAAAGCCTATCTCTCCACCATTGATGATCCCTGAAATACCGAAAAGTATAAATAAAACAAAAATTGCCTGTATCTCAGTAAATTAGCTTCATAGGGCTGCCATAATGTAGTATCATAAACTGGGTGGTTTTAAACCATAGGAATTTAGCCTCTCACAGCTCAGGAGGCCATAAGTCCAAAATCAAGGTATCCTTGGGGCCATGCTCCCTCTGAGACTCTGGGTAGAATCTTTCCTGGACTCTTCCTAAATTCTGGTGGTGGCCGGCAATTCTTGGCATTCTTGGGCCTGCAGCTACATGATTCCAATCTCTGTGTCTGCCAGCCTGTGCTGTTCTTCCTGCGTGTCTCTGTCTTTATGTGGCATTGTCCTTTCCTTAGAAAGACCCTACTCACATTGGATCAGGGCCTACCCTGATGACCCCATTGTAACTTGATTCCATCTGCAAACACTCTATTTCCAAATAAGGTCCCATTCACAGGTCCCAGGGTTAGGACTTCAACAAACCTTTCTGGGGACACAATTCAAGCTATAATATTCACCACCTAGGGATGATCCCTGCTGAAATCCCCTCTAGATTTGGCCCTAATCGGGACAGGAGATGGTGGTGACCTGCCCCATGGGAGTGACACCAGGAATGGAAATATTTGGAGACAAGCAAGGGACTTGGGAGGTAAAACTAGGTCATGAGCTGGTTGAGAGGAAAGATTGGGTGGATGGTGAAGCCCCTCACTGCAGTGGTAGACCAGAAGGACGAGCAGTTTGGCGTCAGAAGGAGAATTTGGATGGTGGCATAGTGAGTTTGAGTTGCCAGAAGACATATGAGCAGGGATGCTCTGTGGGAAGTTGGCTCATGGGAAGTCTGGATCGTTCCCACCCAGATGGTGGCTGCAGGCACAGAAGTAGGTAAGGACCCCCAAAGACAGCATGGAGACTGGCCCCATTTGCCCTAACCAAGGGAGCTCCTAGGTTGTGAGACCTTCAGTGCTGCCACCAGGAAAGCCCCAGGCAAGCCGACAGGAGGGGTCCCCCAGGGAGGCTGGAGGAGGGGAGGTCAGAGCAGGTGAGGAGGGGGAGGCAAAGCAGGAGGAACAGTGTCCCAGAAGCAGGAGACTGGGAGGCAGGGCTGGCGTGTTAAAGGGACAGGACCTATCAAGTATTTTAAGGCCTGGAAAGTGGCCATTAGGTGTGACCACACAGTTTATTGGTGGCTGTATTGAGAGAACTCCCAGGAGAGTAGTGGGGGCAGGGGCCAAGGAAGTAGGTACTCCATGTAGACAATACCTGCTGGGCCCCAGGAGAAGAGCGAGGACAGTAGCTGGCAGGGCCAGATGGCTGTTGTTGTGAGGCACTCGGCCCAGAATATCTTTGGAAGTGCCCTGACCTTGCATGTCCTGCCTGTGACCACCCCTAGGGGCTCTTCCAGCCAGAGCAGGCCAGAGTCTGTCCACTCAGTGCTTGCATTCCCTTGGGAGTGGCAGGGAGAGGGACATGAGGGTGGCAGCCTAGGCAGATGGGCAGCAAGCATGTTACCAGAGCAGCTCCCAGGGAGGGTCAGCTTCCCCCATAGAGATCTCTTTGCTCTGGGTTAAAAATACCCCTGCCTGGTGGCCTGGATGGACATGGACCAGTTTCCCAAGGACCCATTCAGCCAGGCCTCGTCCACCTTATAACAGATGGTCAGTTCGGGGATGTTCAGGCCTCTGTCTCCAGTCCAAGGACATCCTGGCATTGTCCCCTGGATGCGCTGCTGTCTCCTCAGAAGTAGATATGGGACAGACTGCTGGCCCATCTCCTCCCATGCAGGGCACAATGTCATACATTTTGTAGCACGCCAAGGCCCTGGGAATTTACCAGCATTCCCTACGAAGGGGGCTGTGTCGTTGAGGACCCCTTCCCACAAGAGAATGATCCCCCCACGCACACCCCAGAGTCCGGCTGCCGGCCCTCCATCTGAGCCCCTCTTACAGGACACACAGCAATGCGAGTGTCTACACTGGTCAATGCTCCCACTCCTTCTGCCTTCTCCTTTGACTCTAATACAGAGCATCAGGGAGGATCTTCCAGCTACTGCTCCCTGACGCCCCTTGCTACCACCACTACCCTGTGCAGACACAGAGAGCGAGCCCAGACGGCAGGGGCAGAGTGCCCTTCTACTATGGGGTGAACACTCAAACTCCCTTTCTCCCCGAAAAGTGTTCCTTCCCTGTACATCATCTTGCCATATTCTGTCCAAATCCAGCACAGAGAAGATTAAAAAAAAAAGCCCTTCCTCGGGGCAGATATGATGCCTAGCATTTGTAAGGCACCGCTGGAGAAAGACCTTCGGATTATGTCACACGATCCTCAAATCAACCCCCGCGGTCTGTATGGCCATTATCCTTAGGCAGGGAACAGGCTCACCCAGTTTAGGATCTTGCCCAAAGGATCTTACAGTGGTGGTAAAGAAAGCTAGCATTGACACCCAGGCATTCTGGTCAATAATAACAATGGTATTATAATAACAATAAAACTCCATCCCCAATGTTTATGAAGCACTGTGCTAGGCACCTGGAATGCATCAGTGGACGGAGTCCCTATGATGCATGGCACTTACTGTTGCAGGCTTCCTCTGTGCAAGGCCTTCACCTCCCCATTCTGTTTCACCTTCCCAGCACCCCCACAGCCCTGGGCAGTGCTGTCAGAGCCCCACTGTGCAGTGCCAGGAGCGGCATGCCCAGAAAGCCAGAGCTGGAGCCCAGCCCTCTTCCACCCTAAGCCTACCTCGTGGCCACCAACTCAACTCCAAGTCCTGCACACTCCCTCACTGTCTTTGGGGTCTACGTGGGTTAGTGAGACAGCAGAGCATGCTGGGAAGACTTGGGCTCAAGTGTGGGTTCAAATCAAGATCTTAATTATTTGCCATGGGACATTAGTTGCTAGGGACTGAACTGTGACCCTAACGTTCAGAATTCATACGCTGAAGTCCTAAGCCCCAGTGTGACTATATTTGGAGATGGGGCTTTGAGCAGGTAATTCAGGTTAAATGAAGGCAGAAGGGTGGGGTCCTAATCCAATAGGACTAGTGGCCTTACCAGTGGAGGAAGAGAGAGATCTCTATCAGTGTGCACAGAGGACAGGTTGTATGAGCACACGGTAGGGAGGCAGCTGTCAGGGAAGGGGGT